TGCCCACCATGCATGAAGTGATGGAGAATCCACCTAGCTCCCAGACACACCTCTCTAGTTTCTCAAGCCCGGAAGGTTCTTTCCTCCCTTAGGACGTCATCAAAGGAAGGAGACAGCAAAGCCAGGCTTGAAGTAGAAACACATAATCTACTACTCAGTGGTCAAATGGTCTTACCCTGTGTACCATAGGAAATGCAAAGGACTTCCCCCTCCCAGCAAGCCTGTGCCCTTCAGCACCAGAGCAAAGTGTGGCCATGAGCGATCATTTCTGGCTAGCTGACCAACCCAGTGATGTGGCCTAATGGAAACCTAGTGCATTCTAAGATGCCAGCATGAAAACAAGATAAACTTCCATCAGATTGTCATCAGACCAATTTTAATCTTCCAGAGCCAAACAATCCCTTCTGCTGAAGGCTCCAGATGGGATAAAAAGAATGCAAATCACAATCTAATCAGTGTGATAGAAAGGGAAGATGTGGGAGCAGAGCCTTGTTTTCTACTATTTGAAACTCAGCCAATAAGTCATTTAATCTGCAGCAACATGTATAGTACCAGTAGCTTGTAAATGAGATGATTAATATAAATTTTAAATATTTTTTTTAAGATGTGAAGTTGAAGATCGTGTCCTGTAGGCAGGTACAATACCACCTCTGGCAACATCCAAATAGTCTGAAAGAATCAAGCATCGAATTTCTTTCAGCAACCTGTGTAAGTACTTAGCCAATTTCAGCAGATACAATCTCATTAATAACATTTCTTGCAATTTCTTTCACATTGTTTTCAATTGGATCTCTTTAAGGTTTTGTTTTGGAAATCAACTGATATAAAGAGAGGTTTTTAAATTAAACCCCCTCTTTTCCCTAATATTTACTTTTTTCTCCATATCTGACTAAGCTTGTACTGCAATAACTCATTGCTTTCTAATCTGGAAAGGTGCTTCATGCTTATCAGTAGATGCTGATAATTTTTTTCCTGCTCTGTATTTACAAAGGAATTAGCCAAGAAGAGAGATAGCAGGTCAAAAAAAGCCCTGTAGAAAAGAAGCCATGTAAGATTCACTCTTTCAGCTTGTATCCTCCATTTACATTTAGATGACATCTACTTTTAGTAGATATTTAAAATTAACCAAAAAAAGAGACTGAAAAAGTGCATGTGGTGCTCATTCTGCCCAGGCTGGAGCAGTCTCTGTGACACACAAACAGGTTTGGCATTGAGGTAAAAGAGGGATGGTGACAAAAGGAATTTATGAGGGCTGTGCAAGGTCCTCATTGTCTTGTGTAACATTATCTCTTTCCAGATTTAAGTTGAAGACTCATATGGAGAAACTTCAAGGGTTGCCAACTGCTTCTAGCATTAACCCACATTTCTACAGATTCAAATGATAAATTGATATTTCTCTGTTACATTAAAAAAAATGAGTAAAGGTTTTTTTAAAAGAGTCAAACATTTGTAAAATAAATTGAACTCTAGCTTTCATTATCTTTCTTAATTGCTCAAATCCCCCAGTCTCCTTCAATTCCATGAGCAAATATCCCACTTTTAAAACATCTATTCCAGCACCTACTGCACTAATTTTATTAAGGTGATTGCATTTCTGCTGTGGTTGAAACTGTGGAGGTGATTTTGCTGTACAGTTCACTAACAATAACACGGGGAAAAGGGCCAAAGAGAAAGCCAAGTATGGATGAGACTATTGCAAGTATTTCTGTCCATCTGGATGGACATGCAGAAGTGATCTCACTGAAGTGAATGGGATGAAACACCACTCAAAGGTAAGTGCTTACAGTAAGGTACATAATTGGGCTTCCACAGCCAACAGACATAATGTATTTACAGTGAGAGGCAAGAGCATGGACAAACCCTGGAGGCAACTAATGAAAGGACATGCTCTTCGGAGTTTCTTCCTGCAGGCTCAATTAAATGACTCTTATTACAGCTCCAGCCAAATACTGTGTAGGACGGAGAATATGGATTGAGTGTGGGCTGTGGAACTCAGCTACCCTCAGAGAGGGCCTGAGAGGGGTTTGCCCTGAAGAAAGGCTGTGCTCTGATAGACCAGTTTTAAACTCATTCATGTGAAGTCCACTTGCAACAGTGAACCTGTTTCAGGACAGCCTCGAATTCACTACAGCAGGTTTTAATTTGTATGCAAAAGACCACATTCAATGAGCTTGCTGCCAATTAAGATTATTTATAGAGAACATGATGTTTAATTTCAAACCTCACTGTTTCAAGGAAGAGAGAGCAGGCCCTGAGTGAATGCAGATAAGAGACTCCCAACAGCGTTGGCATGTGGCAACATTTGGCTGCAGCCAGACATCCCGGAGTGATGAGGCCGTGTGGGCACAAGATGTCTCCGCCCTCCCTTGTCTGGGCTGCCACCTCCCGGCTTGTGAGAGCCATCCTGTCCCTTTCAGCGGAAATGAGTGCCAGCAAAATGTAGTAATTCTAACAGAGAGAGTCCTGGAAAGAGGGACATTTTGCAGGAGGTGGAGGCTGCAGCCAGCACTCCATGGCACAGATGGGCCACAAGCCACATCTGCGGATACTCCACAACAGCAAGCCTTGCTCTTGAAGACCATAAAACCTTGCTACTGGCAGGCTCTTTTTGTACAAAACCTTGCTTTTTATGCAGGTATTTAAAATTTTAGAAGATATTTTAAAGTATTTTGGAAGCATCCCTTTCCTGGCAGGTTTACCACAAAGCAGGACAAGTTGCAAATATTCTGAAGTCACAGAGCTGCCAGTTGAGAGCATCCCAGGCTCAGAGGCTGCTGAAGGGAAAGAGCTGCTGGCAAGTTTTAACAGGCTCCCTCCAATGGAGATTTTTTAAAAAGCACAAAACACCACAGCAATCAAAATGTAATGTCTAACCTGAGGTGAGCCTGAGAATGAGCTTCTGAGGAAAACTTGCTGTTGATTTTCAGAGGCACAGCCCATTCCTTATCCCAACCTATCTGGCCTGGCAGCTAGAGAGCCTGTTGGCACAGTGCTTATCCAGTCCTTAATTACAGGTCTTATCTATCAAATGAAAATTCATTAAAAATGACTAGGTGGGCTCCTTGTAGTGATTCTCTGTGGGGATGACACTGTACCTGTGAAATACATACACTTTAGGCTGGGTCCTGCCAGCTACCCTGCATTATGCTGAATGTGATGTCAGGAATTTCTCATGATTGCCTGCAGAGAAAAACTGAGGGAGTTTCCAGGAGCAACAGTGTTGTTGCTAATGTCACAGATGAGTAAAACCTCAGCTACACTGGTGCTGTCTGTGTGTTCGGGAAAAATGGATTCCATCTGAGACGGTAGGGAAGGACCACAAAGATGGCCAGAGAATGGGAATGCCTGATGCAAGAGAAAACTGAAGGAATTTATCACGACAAAATTAAAACTGAGATATTATATTGCTGCAATTTAATGCCCAGGAGCAAGTGCCATGGCAGGAGAAGATCCAGCCAAGCTGACCATCAGAAGGGGAATGCTCTGGTGCAGCTTGTCTCTAGCAGCAGTGAAAGCAAACAACTTCATCTAAGCAGCAGGCAAGAGATGATAACTTTCTCATGGTCAGGCTGTAAATTACTGATCTGTAGTCTATTACACTGAAAAGAGAATGCTGTAGCATTCTGCATTAATGTTGCATTAATATAGCTCTTTATTTCTTAATCCATCAGGTAGAAAAGTATTGCTTTCTGCTGTACAAATTTTGAGATGTTTTGTTGTTAAAATAATTTAAAATATTAATTAACCAATACCAGTAGATTTAGAGAAGGCTAAAACACAGTTGTGTGTGAAGCCTGTACTCATAGTCCATCCATCAAAAAGAAAAATATGCATTTTCTGGGAATAGCAAAAAAACTGATATGAAAATTCCTAGTAGTGCTTTCTAAATGTATATCCAAGCCTGTTCATGCCCAAATGCCTTACTAAGAAGAATGTTTGCCCAATGACAGTGACCAATAGATGATAATTACTATACCATTTCTATGATCAAGTTTCAAATTAGAGATCAACATATGTAGAGAGGACAGCATGCATCCCATCCTGATGGATTTATCTTGTCAGGGTTGATAAACAAAAGCAAAACTGTCAACCCAAGAATGAAAAAACATGAGTTGGACTTGAGCCAAAATAATTATTTGAGTTTTGTGATATTTTAAAATACATAATAGAATTTAAAAAGTGCGTTTGACTCCTGATTTGATAGCCCAGGTTTTTCCTGAAACCAGAAAAGTCCTGAAATTTACTGAAAGCAGAAGGGAAGTGAGGAAACTGGCATTCACCTCTCGTATTATGGTTCTGTGGGGCTGAATTAAAGAGTGTCAATGCTGCATTGGCTCAAGTAAACAAAATGCTCATCTATCAGCTATTTAAAAAAAAATTAGATAAATGGCTTTCTCAGAACAATTATGTTTTCTAGGTATTAAATGTTGTTTTACTCCTCAGGAAGGTAAGTTTGGTGAGAGATCTCTTTGATTTATAAAATGCTTTGTTTGTTGCAAAATCCCATCTATAAACAAACAAATTTCTTGCAATTTAAGCTGCCGTTGCTCCTGCTATACTGTCAGTTCCAATTAACTTCACCATAATCTGGTACATCAGTTTATTATAACAGGCAGACACAGGTTTCTTCTCATGAGAACCAAGTAATGGATATGGGGAATGAAGACCTTTGTTTTTAATGCTGTAGTCTGTTCTAAAGCAGTGAAAACCAACAACAAGAACGAGAACAATGATGGATCCACAAATCTTGTGGATGTGTCATGGTTCAACCCCAGCTGGCAACTATCACACAGACACTGGCTCACTTCCCCCACCCCAGTGGGATGGGCAGCAGAATCAGGAAAAAAAAAGGAAAACTTCATGGTCTAAGAACTGTTTAATAATTGAAAGAAAGTAAAATATAGTAATATTAGTAATAATAGCAATGAAAAGGGAGATAACAAAAAGAAAGAAAGGAATAAAACTCAAAAAAACAAGCACTGCACAATACAGCTACTCACCAGCTTCTGACTGATGCCCAGCCATTCCCAAGCAGCCATCAACTCAATTCCAGGCAACAACCCCAGTTTATGTATGGGGCATGGCATTCCCTGCTGTGGAATATCCCTTTTGACAGGTCAGGTCAGCTGTCCTGGCCATGCTCTCTCCCAGCTTCCTGTGCACCTCCTCACTGGCAGAACATGGGAAACTGAAAATTCCCTGAGTTAGAGTAAGCACTGCATAGCAACAGCTAAACCATCAGTGTGTTACCAACATCATTCTCATCCCAAATCCCAACCACAGCACTGTACCTGCTACCAGGAAGGCAACTAACTCTATCTCAGCCAAAACCAGGACAGGATGTTGTCTACCAAGATTGTGGTAAAGAATTTGACATCATTTCCTGCAGCATTCTCCTGGAGAAAGCAGATACACTTGGCTTGGACAGGTGCACGGTTTGCTGGGTAAAAAGCTGGCTGGATGCCCAGGGCCAGAGTGGTGGTGGATGGAGTTGCATCCAGCTGGAAGACAGTCCCAAGTGGCGCTCCCCAGGGCACAGTGTTGCAGCCAGTCCTGTTTAATAAATTATCAACAAGCTGGACGAGAGGATCACATGCACCCTCAGTCAGTCGGCAGTCAACACCAGGCTGGGCAGGGGCACTGATCTGCTGCATGTGGGGAAGGCTCTGCAGAGGGATTGGGACAGGGTGGATCTCTTGGGTGACACCAAATGTATGATGTTCAATTAGGCCAAGTGCTGGGCAGCCTGGAGGAGAAGGACCTGGGGATGCTGGCTGACAGTCACTGCCCAGGTGGCCAAGAAGGCCAATGGCATCCTGGCCTGTAGCAGCAATGGTGTCCAGCAGGACCAGGGCAGTGATGGTCGCACACCCCAAGTGCTGTGCCCAGCTCTGGGCCCCTCATTAGGGGGGGACATTGAGGCACTGGAGTGTGTCCAGAGAGGGGCAACAGACCTGGTGAAGGGTTTGGAGCACAAGTCCTGTGAGGAGCAGCTGGGGGAGCCAGGGATATTTACCCTGGAGAAAAGGACGCTCAGGGGAAACCTTATCACTCTTCAACTGCCTGAAAGGAGGGTGTAGTGAGATGGGGCTTGGCCTCTTTTCCCAAACAACAAGAGATAGAACAAGAGGAAATGGCCTCAAGTTGCTCCAGGGCAGATTGGGTATGAGAAGAATTTCTTCACAGAAAGGGCTATTAATCACTGGAACAGCTGTCCAGGGAAGTGGTTGAGTCACCATCCCTGAAGGTGTTTAAAAGATATGTAGATGTGGCACTTAGGGACACAGTTTAGTGGTGAACTTGGCAATGCTGGGTTAAAGGCTGAACTTGAAAATCTTAGAGGTCTTTTTCAACCTATACAATTCTATAATTCTATGATTCTATGGTTTTGGTGCTGACTTAAAAGAAGGGCTGTCATTCTTCTCACTGAGAAAATCGCTCATTATGAACTGATATACTTTACCAGTATCAGTTTAATTGGTTCTGCACCTCTGCAGTGGTAAGGTGCTTCATTCCAACACACAGCACCCAGGCAGGCATTAAACTAAACTAAAAGTTCAGTTTAATGATTTTCTCTTGTTGTTTAAACAGATTAAGTAGATTCCATTTTTGCCAAATACTTTACACAAAATAAATCATTCGAGAGCCTGGACAGTTATGCTGAAAGAATTAATTACTGCCTGACAACACATGTCATCACTTTTCCATTGAATCAAAAACAGATCACAAAGACAGCTATAGCTGAATAAGTTAGTGTCTTATTTACAAAGCAAAAAGTAACTGTGCTCCTTAAAAACTTCAAATATTTTGTTTGATGGCTAATGTCAAAAAGAAATAGAAGTGTTTTAAGAATAAATAAGGATAGTCTGAAATGCCTCACTGTGATTTGCTAAGCACTTTTTCCCAGATGAAAAAGCAAGCTTTCCTTTTTTTTCCTTGCTCTTGGATCTTGTTTTCGCAATGTGGGTGACACAGATGATACAAGTGTGGTTCTGCATTGCTCCGCTCTTCCCTCTTGTCTTACCAGAAGGACATGGAGACAATAGCCAGGTCTTTTGTCTCCTACAAGAACTTCACCTTACCTGTACATTCCTTCTCAGCCTCCTAATACAACCCTGCATTCAAAAGAGACATGCCCTGAGGAGACAAAAATTGCTGGAAATGTGCAAATGTTGACCATGCAATCACCCGGAGGGAGAAGAAACTTGAAGGCTGACATCTTTATGGGAACAAAATAATATATCAGTAAATCTCCTCTTCTGCTTTATTAGAGGAGATATGGTGTGATTCTTAGGGTTGGCCTGATAAGAGTTGGACTTTAATGGTCCTTATGAGTCTCATTCAATTCAGAATATTCCGTGATTCTCTGAGCCAGCAAGTAAAAGAATCCTCCTTTTTGAAGAAGAAGCACCTAGATCTGGAAGTAAACAACTAACATTACAAATCATGATCAGCCACAACAATCCTATGCTGTTCAAAACTTACTTGATGTTATGAGCATTCAGGATTTGCTCAAATAAATCCCCCAGGCAAACATTTCTTACAGGGAAACAGACTCTCCTATCTGCCTAAAATCTTGAAGAAAAAGGAGAGGCTGAATTATTCCCAGAAGATGACAGTGAAAACCCAAAGACTGGAAAAACCCAGACTAGACACTGACAGAGTGCTGTCTGTGTAACTGCAGCACCCCATAGCAGCTATGCACACTCTCGATACATGGGAAAATTAACACTGGTGAGGTTTACAGGGATGTTTACCTACAGGCTCAAACGATCAAATGAAGAAGAACATTGTACTTGTATGTTTAAATCTGAGGGGGATCCATGCAAATTTCACAGCTCAGCTTTTACATCTCTTCTAAGCCTGGTTTTGAGCTCTTTCAAAGTATTTCTAAAATTCCCACTGCTCACAGAAGTACCCAGTCTTCTTCCCAGTCTCACTCGCTCCTGAGTCTTGTTGTTACTTCTTGGCAATGAGTCTCAAGCTCCAGCTGTAGGTTACATAAAATGCATTTCCTTTATTCTATTTGGGATTTGGTCACATTTCATCTCCCTTGCTCCTGTGTTGTGAGAAAGGTAATAAAAGCAACAAGTCCAACTGCTCTAAGTGTTTTACCATGTTGTCCAATTTTGCACATTCCCTTTTGCTTGTGCCATCCCAAATGAAAAAGCATCAATCTTTTAACTCTCTGTGGAAGTTTGTATTCATTGAAGGAGGCAGAAGCACCTCTTTCTGCATTTCATGTGCTAGAAGGGGAAACTGAGGAAGCTTTGCTACCTCTGCAGTCAGAAGGGGACTGACACATCATGCCTGGTGAGGAATATCTGAAGACATGGAGATCAAATTGCCGGACCAAGCATGTTCCAGACAAAGCCAGCTTTGTTTATGCATCAGCCTGAGGCATCCTTAGAAAATTGTTTGCTTGTAGACTTCTTGGTTGTCAGGTGGAGGAAGGCAATGAGTAAATTAGACTGTCAGGTGCTTTCCTGGGTGACTCTGTCTCTGTGCTGTCAGTCACTAACAAAAGCAGCTCCCACCTCACATGTCAACAGATGAAACAGGAGTAATTCATTCAGTCACCTTAAGACGTTTCTAAATCCAGTGCTGCCTTCTTTCCTTTCAAGTCAGAAACTTTACTCCTCTTCTAAAGCATTGCTGAAGGCAAATGTTGCAGAGCTGTGCAAATCGTTATTGTTCAAACACTTTTCTTTAGTTATTGTTAGTTTCAATATTATCATTTCAAATCCATCTTAGAAATGTATTTCCTAAAAGGAATAGTGATTACAGTGGCCCAAGGAGAATACAAGCTTTGTTCGAGTGAAAGCAAAGACTCATTTCAAGAGTCATTTTTGGTTTAACACTTTTCACAACGTAATCTTATTTCTCATAGATACAAAATGACAGAAAACTGAAGACTGCCGTGAATGGGCCATACTGCATGGGATAAAGCTTGCTGTAAGTGGGAATCCTCATATGAAAACTTTTGCGCGGAAGTGGACCCAATGTATCATTCATGCAATGCACATAATTTTTAGAGAGGCTCAAATTCCAAAAACTGAAATACTTGGATTCTCCACAGCTCAAGCCTACTTCATCTTTCTTCCCAGAGCCACTCTACCCCTCTGAGCAGCATCAGTGAGTTGGAGAGGTGTCTCTTATTGTTTTATAATGCAAAAATAAAGGCTTCATCCAAAACTAGAAACAATTCACATACTTCTGAAGATGTAATAAGAGAGTTGGGGCACAAATAGATAGTTCTCATATAAAGAAATGCAGATGAGCTGAATAGGTCTAGATCTGAATCCCTACTGTCTTTATCACATTTAGTCATCAAAAAGACTGAGAGCAGGAGTTCTGGCACCAAATCTCTCCGTAATAGCTGCATATGAGTTTGTTGCTGCTCCAGCAAAAACCAAGTTGTATCTACTGTAAAAAAGCAGGAGCTGGAATTCATTAGTCTGAGGCCATGAGGGAAAAAGGCTGGGCTGACTGCGACAGACTTTGGACAAACCACCTGCTTTGGAAACCCAAGGCAATGGCCAAGTTCTGAGTATGCACATTCATGGTATCCAAGATATGCAGACTAAATAGCTTAGGAAAGGCTAAATGATCCCAGGAAGCAGCCTGCCCCTGCATGGCTGCGGGGCTCTCTCACTGCCCAAAGCTTTGGGCAACACCAGCATGTACGGCGTGCCAGGGTGTCTGTCTGTCCCCAGGCCAGCCCCTTGTGGCACTGGGCTCTGGTGGAACCCTCACCACACCATGAGAGGGGACAAGGCTCAGAGGAGACCTGCCATCCACAGCCCTCTGAGGATCCAGCTGGGCCTGTGGCTGCCACTGGGAAGAGCCATGCCTGAAGACTTGACTGACAGTCAGAAACTTGGAAAGAAGAAGGAAAAGGAAGACTAGCAACATTCAGTGCTACAGATTAAAGAGTTTATAAACAGACATTGTAAACGCTGTCACATAAACAACAAAACTGGCAAAATATCACTTTGGTTTGCTTCAGTATTTTTTTGATATAAAAAACTTGTGTGCTATCAATGCTCTCTCTTGTGCACAGCATGAAGGAGAAGAATGCGACACATCAGGAAAGAAGGACTGCTGAAGAATGATTAATGTAGCCATGCCTTGTAGCTCTCTAGTGAAAAGCTGCATTGAAAAACAATATATATGGAAAAAAAGTAAATAGGTGCAGTATCAAGCCCTGTGGAGCTCCATAATGCATAAAATGACCAGATGGGGATGTCAAGAAAAATATGCTCTGAAAGATATTTCATAAAATGTAAGAGACTTGCACCCACAAGAG